TTTTTTTGCTTCATTTATTTATTAGCCTAACTTGTTACAATTTATACTTAGCATCATTTTAAATGTAAGTTTCAGTGCTAATATCATTAATATCAGTGTTTTATATGTTACACACAATATCGCATTTGATAAAGATTCTATCTAAGCCAGTAGTAGGTTAGTAGTAACGTAATTAATAAGCAATGTATTATACCTGAAGGCTGTATGCGCTTATATTATGTATTGTGTTTATCTGATAATACTGAATTGTTTACATAGGTGCCAATGATACCGTGAACAGCGCTGCGGAGACCGACCCTCAGTCTCCCATCGCTGGCATGCCTGTACTTAAAGTTTGGAAAGCGAATCAGGTAAATGACAATGTATATTTAATTTCTATTTCTTATGTATATTTTGTGTAAATGGTCCATTTGAATGGCTGCATCTTCAAAAGTGGGATTTGCTATCATTTCCATACTGTCTGTCTCTGTTAAATACGTAGTCTCTTCCTTTAACCCGTCGTGTGTCGGAACGTAGATCTACGCGAGACGCAATGCATTTTCTTTTGTGTCTTATATACGCCAGTCAAGAGGTTAATCGACTGTTACGACACTGGCAGAAAGAAAAGGTTGTTGACAGATGTATTATACTACTACTGTCTCACACAACATGTTATTATCACTTGTAACTTTGTAACATAACATAACATCACGCCTTTTATCCCCAAAGGGGTCGGGCAGAGGTGCACATTATACCACTGTACAATGTAACACCCACTTTTCACTATTTGTGTTATGAGTCCCATGTAGTAGGGGGTGAGCCTATTGCCATATACCGGGCTCAATTCCAGACTCTGTGCTACTTCTGACCATTTTTTAAAAATCCAGTAATACTTTGCCCGACCCGGGAATCAAACCCGAGACCCCTTGCCCGGCAGTCGCACTTGCGACCACTAGGCCAATAAGGCAGTCACTTTGTAACTTTGTGAAATTCCAGGTGGTAGTAATGAAGCGATCGATGGGTGTCGGTTACGCCGCTGTCGACAACCCCATCTTCTACAACAACAACACCGCCATGTTGCTCGGAGACGCCAAGAAGACTTGTGATGCGCTACTCGACCGCATCAAACATCTCACCGCTTAAGTAAGATAGTGATAATTTTATGTACCAAATACCTACTTGTTATTTGGGTATGACTGTAGTTACAGTCTAACAAAATATCATATAGGTAGTTCAATCCAATTTGATTTCGCTGAGTACTAGTCTTATAGTCTTAAATCAGGTTGTTTTTGCTATGGAAGTGGCAAAAAATGTTCTAATTGGTGTTTACATGCACAACTGTGCATCATTGAGTGTGTGACTCATCCATCTATATGATTGTCAACTACAACTTTTGATAGGTTCTAATTGACCTATGATGATGAAACGAAAATATTTTGTTGTATAGAATTAATTCTCAGTGTTTACCAGCCTATTTGCGCATGTACTTTTGATGAAATAGGTAATAAATTTAGGACATTTCGTTAATTGATATATTTTGTAAGTGACAATAACATCACAATTTCATTGACCAACACATGGTTCCTATCGGAGCAAAATTTTTGTTATGGACTGGGCGAATACAGACTAAAGTTACCGTCGTAACATGGGCGTAACGTATTTGCCAATTTTAGTTGGGGGATTGAGGTGTGGATGTAATTGCACTCGCATACATTTTTTTTCACTAAAAAAATGTATGACGATGGAATAGAAAGTTTGTCGAATGTGGCTGCTTCGTAAGAAAACGTGTGATGGTTTAAATGCCAGTTGACAAAATATTATTTTCATTGCTCATTAATTAAGACTGTCAGTTTTGACGCCATTTTAATTTTTATAATGTGGGCTATTGTGCATTACTAATAGTCTCATTTTTTTTTCATGTTAAGTCTGCCATGCTTTTATAATTTGTTTATATGCAAATTATGTAAATCGTTATCCAAAATGGTGCCTAAAATATCCAATGTGTTCTTTGTAATCGAGTGTCATAATGTTTTATTGTACTTTGCTACTTTTGGGACTGAATAGGGATAATAAAACAAAGCGATGTTGCCAAAATAACGCTTTTCCTAATGTTAAGAACCATATGTGCCTTTAATTTGCAACAATTTGAGTATCTCTTAACAGCTAGTCTATAAGATATTATCGAATTATTAATAAGATTTTTATGGATTTTTATGTATAGTATATCTGCAAATTAAATTTTGTATACATAACAATTATATTCAAATGTAGTTCATATTTGTATTATACTATGTTAAACATTTGAGATTTTTATGTACCTCTGTATTTTTACCAATTATTATTTTAACTGCACATTTTGGAGTTGAGTTTATCTTAAATGACTGGAATGCATTTATAAATAAAAGAATGTGCACCTCCCATCACATTCCACCAATAAATATGTATGCATCACACGACACTATTTCAGTGGAGGTTTTTTTTTATAAATAATAATGTAGATATTTTTGTAATTTAAGAGAAACAGTGAGTATACCAGTTGATTGTAATAATAGTTGTATGTCAACACTGTTCTATGATATATGAACAACATCATTCCAACAATATTATTACGTTATTTCATATTTAAGTACTTACTTAGTTTATGACGCTAGAACATTGAGCTTTCTCAAGGGTCTTCGAAAGCTCAATTTTTATCAAAAATATGATTGTATTTGTTTATAATGAAATGTTATCACTTTATGTCCATGGAATGTTTCGATAAATTTATGAATTAATTGTGCCTTTTGAAAATAAAGAATGACTTAAACATATTCATGTATTTGTATTACAATATCTACATAAATTAATTTATATTATCATTAAGTCGAAAATTGAAGTCTTTGATTGCGTTATGATATTGGCCTCTAATATCTGAAAGTTGAAACTTTAAACTATTCATCTTATTAAGAAATTCCATATTATTCTCATTGTAAACAGAACCTGAGAAAGAAATTAATTGTATTTTGTCGATTGCTATTAAGACTTCGAGACGCAACTTTTCACATATATCTTGATAACTTGTAAATTCAGGGATATAACCATCTGATTTTAAATGTTCTTCTGCTTTCAAAGTCAGGGACAATTCGTCCAATTGAAGAATAAAATTTTCAAAAGTTTTCAGTAACCTTTTATCCAAGTTCCGATTGTGTAAATCAGTAGAAATGCTGCCACTAGGGCTTGAGAGTCGTTTCTTTGAACTGTCTGAACTAAAACAAGATTTGGAACTCCCTAAAGTATTTAATTTTGATCTGCATTTTATTCTCCATGTCTTATTACTAGCGATAGACATATTAAGGCACTTGAATCAATAACTTGTAATCCAAAATAATGAAAATGGTAAATAAATTAGAATGCAAAAAATTATGAATAATTTTGCAACTGAAATTTTTGATTTTGTCAGAACCAAAGAGATCCCCTATACTTATTATACTCTTTGCCAAAGAGTAAGTTTCCCCTATACTTACTATACTCTTTGTAGTAAGTTTCCCCCTTTTGGTTTCCCCACAGACCTACTAAATCTATGGGTTTCCTCTATACTTATTATACTCTTTGTAGTAAGTAGTGAAAAGTGTAAAAAATCTCTATTGTATTCTTTGAAAGAAAAATGAACTATGGTTTGAATGATGCTTTGTTATTGCAAGAAATTATGCTTAGTTGGTAGAAAAAATTCAATACACTAAACAGTTCCCCTATACTTATTATACTCTTTGCTAAACATTACCTAGGCATAAGTGTGGGATAGTCATGCTTCAGCACGAATGGGCCGGCTCGACCGGAGTAATACCGTTGCCTCACAGAATTGAGAATGCCGACGTGAAACAACGCTTGCGTTGTGTTTCGTCATGTGAGTGAGGTTACAGGAGGCCCAATTACCCCCCTCCCTAGTCTTCCGAATCCCCGAATCCTCTACAATCCTTAAATTCCCAATTCCCAAAAGGCCGGTAACGCACTTATAACGCCTTGGAGTTTCGGATGTCCATGGGCGGCGCCGATTGCTTACCATCAGGTGATCCGTCTGCTCTGCTCGTTTACCGGCTTGCAAAAAGGCATTTTATCAATATGCATTGATTTTTTTTCCCACAACTTCATATAATGTTGATTTCTTTGGAATGAATTTGCCTTTATATTTTTATTTATGTTCATAATTTAATAAAAACTTAAATTAAATTAACATTAACTATTAGTAAATTAAATATATACATCTTAAGATAAAAATTAATTAAAATAAAACTAAAAACAACTAAGTATTTACACAAAGCATAGAAAAATTCGTCCTAATCGACGTCAGTGGGGAAAGTAACCAGAAGGCTGGCAGCATTGCCACGTTATATGGCAATGCTTAACCTCTGACCGAGAAAAAACCAGCCCTCGGGTCACGAGATGCGTCGACCAGGCGTTTCGAAATGTTTTTGAATAATTTAAGCGCACTCGGACCCCGCGGACCTAACGTCTCAACCACAAACGGCTCAAAGATATAACTAACAGCAAGGTCGTTATACTTGCGCCGCTTGAGGTGTTCTGCAGCGGCAGCAGCCGAACCAGCACAACCCGCCGTTACTGGAAGATGAGAAGGTGCAAGGGTGTCGACGCAGGTTGCGTCCCACACCAAAGACCTACTCAGACAGACATAACTTCGGGTCTCTTACCATCGTCGCGCGCCAAACCCTTTGGTTCCAGAACAGATGCCACACCGGCGATGACAGAAGCTCGACGAATCATGTCGTTAATGCTGGCGTGTCGGGCTACCCGGCCCGCGTGCTACACGGTAGGCCGTGGTGACCGAGTAACACAACATGCATCTAGACGCAAGCAGGCAGCAAGGTGAAAAGTTGATTTATTCAACTTCGTGCCAACTGCCAATATTGAGTGAAGCATTAAATAATAAATTAATGTTGACAACCCTACCCACTGCGGCTGTCAATGTCACTGTCATACAACGAATGGTTGTCATTGTAAATGACATTACACCTGTTTAATGTCATACAGAGTCGGCAACTCGACTCGGACTCGGTCCGCTCGACACTACTGGATATAAGGTCGAATTTCTTTAGGATTGATAAAACATTAAAAGTTGCGGTGCAATTTGCACCTCTATAGCTTGAATATTTAGCTGTTGAATTTCACCACGACTGCTTGATTTTAGACTTTAAAGTGCAGGAGTATTTAACTAAGCTATCAGGAAAAAATCAAATACGATTGAGGAGTACAATGCGCTAGACTGGCCAGGAAATTAGCATTTGGTAATCGGTTTATTTTGTATTGTGTTTAGTTTATATTCGTTACCCCAACCTCTGCACTTCAGTGTTCAGCATGGTACGTGTTTGTTTATTTTCCGTTTTATTTAACCCTTATTTTTTAAACTATTATTTTTAAAATGCTTTCAACAAAATCTATAAATAAAGATGACTTGATATCGTAAGTATGTAGTAGTTAAAACAGTTTTATTTACTTTTTGTAATTGTAGCTAATAGAAATATTTTGGGTATTGCTTTTATTTATTTTTTAAATTCAAGTGTTCTCCTGTACATTTAGCTACGTTTTTCTTTAGTAGATGGATGTACCTACTTCTTCTTCCCATTGTTGTATATTTGTATAAAACAATAAATAAATACCTTAATGTACAGGCAAGTGATGAAAAGAAAATGGTGTCTTCAAGTAAACCGGCACTGCCTCCAAGCAGTGATGAAACTGGCAATGTGCTGTCTATGATATACAGATTCTTTAAAAAGGTAAGTATGTCAATAATGCTTAAAACTTGAAATAGTGACTGAGTTTGTTATTTTAAGTTGGATGGCATCATCTTATTAGAATATAAATGCATTGACTGTGTGACCACATTGTCAAAACAAAATAGGATGTCTTAGCATGAGTCATGTTGACCTTGAACAGCCACGCTTTGAATCATAAGATAAGTATTCAACCTTCAAGTGTTAGTTCCTTTTGTTTATTTTATTAGGTGGAAGTTTTATACTAAGTAATGTGAAGCCTGCACAATTATCACTGTCTCAATAAAATGAATCATCCAAAAAGTTCACATGATTAGATCATAGTTCTATATTTGCTTAGTTGCTAATCTGCTCACTTAAGTCCTTGTAATGATTTAACTGGCCACTCAATTTTGAGCTCAAACAAGAGAAGATATACTTATATATGTGCTGCATAAGGTAAGCTTTGCTTATCAGTAATTGGATACACAGTCAACACCTTGGTAAATGAGCAGAACACATGCACATTAGTATAATTTTCACATCACATCATACAACACAGTGATGTCATACACTTTAATTATCCACAGGCAGGCAATTTTAGCTTTTAAATAGAATGAGGAAGAACTATATTTAAAGTACAGGAACATTCAGCCACAAACTAGTGAAAATAGTAAATAAACAATATTAACAACTCATGAGTTTCCTGTAATTCTTTATTATAAATTTATTGATGAATTAAAGAATAACATACTTAGCTATATGTGCGTCTATACTGTACACACCTCGTGCGCCGGTCATGGGATTGTGGAATAAAAGACGACACTTTGTAAATAAACACTATTTATTGCACTGTTACTGATTTAGAAAAGTACGATAATCTATACTAAATTAAATTATAAATGTTTGAAAAGCTTTCTTATCCTAGTAATTGATTTTGCACACACTTTTAAAGCGTTCGTGGCGAATTACAAGCATAACTTTTTGGACTACAAGAGTTCCACGATTGAAAACGGTTTGCACGAAATTGATAATGACACTGATAACAGTTTGTCTTGTAGTTATAGTTATTCTACACTTAATTCTACTGAGTTTATACACTATTATGTCTTTCCATGAACACTCAAACACTTGCACAATTTTACTGTTAATAGAGAAAATGCGTTATCACTAAATTCACTGAGAGTTATCGGTGTTTTGATCGCGGGTTTGCCGAACCGCGATCTTGTTACGGATTTCGGTATACTAGGTCGCGACTTTGCCGATTCGCGACACCGAGGCTAGTTAAGATAACTAGGACAGCTGTCGGGCAGCGGTTGCCCAAACTGCACGAGGTTCCGATAAACTGTGACCGATGATTGCCGACGAACTGTGTCGACGGGCTGTAAAACTGTTGCTATAGTTACCCCGGACTGTGTGCCGTACGTACGGTGACGGCACACCGATCGCATTTTCTGCTCTGTCCAATCCCAGCCCGAACGAAGGAGAAGTTCTCTCCGTCTAGCTCTATTTTCGGGCGGGGAGACCTCTTCTGGACAGAACAGAACTGCTTTTTCCGGGGCCTATTTTAATGACATTTTATTTATTTGCTCGTCTCCTACACCATTTTCTTACTAATTTAACAATTACGGTTATAAATGGTGTAGGAAGACGGCGTCGATAGGAATACAGCCCGTCGATACGTTTTTTCTAGAATTCACTCAGGTAAACTACTAATTCGTTAATTTTTGTGCAAGTGTTTACAATGTTATTCACTATCTTATTATCTAAGCTGATAACTTATTATCTAGGCTAATGACTTTAGTTGTTGTCGTCCTGCACACTATAATAAAACTATATTTTGTACCCATGCAAAAAAAACAGTGTAGTTCAAAAATACTTATCTTACTAATTGTTAATAAATGAACAGCATCATCCACACAGGTGTGAAGTTAATATTGGTATGATCATGTTCATTAATTGCTTGAAAAAAGCTTACTTATTAGAACTTTAGGTGCTAGTGCACTTTTGGTAAAAACAAGCTCAAAGTGATATTGTTAAACAATCATTATATCAGCAATGATAAAAAAGTATTCTTGAAATAATCTTATCAAACCTAATAAATATACATTGTAGTTTTTATCAGGAATGGCATGTGCACGCCATTATAATGAGACTAGGTATTCATAAAAACAAATTCTCTTTATATGGTTGTTTAATTGAATATTTTCCATGCTTCATGAACTATTGCTGCAGGTATCGGTCGTTGGCGCCGTGTACCTGGTCGGGTACATGCAATGGAGCGTGGCGTGGCTGATCGGACCCGTTATTCTGTCTGTACTGCGCGATCAATGGCGTAAGGAGAACGAGTACCGACGCAACTTGGCCAAGGCCGCGGCCTCCTCCTCCGAGAAAGATGTTGTTTTGGCTAAGCTGGACGACTTGCCGGCCTGGGTAAGATGCTATCTTTTATTATGTCATAAAAAAATTATCTATATTCTCGATTAATAATAACTTTGAAACAGTAAATGAAAGGCATATCTCCAATTTGGCTCGTGTCCAAAAGATAAAAGTCGAGCTGGTAAAATTAACTGATATGTAGGATTATTATTCAGTCAAGTGCCTGTGAATAAAAATACTGTAATCCATTAGGGTCCTGTTTCCGGTTACGTACGTCACTTAGGAAGTGATGGAATGATTGATGGTGACGCAAAATATCTTTTGTTATCTACCTTTACCGGTTTTATACCACATTAAAAACGTTTAGATCGTAGGTATCATAAACTGCAGTAGAAGCTATTTAGCATTATAAAATTATACTTCAAATATTAAAACGTAAAAAACCGCACACTCTACACTAGAGTGCGCGGTTTACACACATCTAGGTACACAGGTGTGCACACTAGAGTGCCCGGTCTACACAGGTATACCTACGTTAGGTATATACATATCATACTACGTACCTAAGTACTACTATAGATTTTGATTAACATGAACCGTGATCAAGTTCGATCGACCTAGAAAACATTCGAATAAAAATAATTTCTGTCTGTAGGTAATATGGCACACATTTTCAGCTGACGAAATGTAGTTTCAGCCATTTGAACTTTCTGTTATTCGAAATTGTTTGTCCGTTCCGAATGGTTCCAATTAACTATAATCTTACGTCATACCTGGCGTATACAGTAAAGATTAAGGTCAACGACATTGGTCAAATCGATTGTATGACCTCACCATGTTTTTACTGTAGAACAAGTTCATTGTTTTTGTGTGGTGGGAATTACATAATAATATCTATACATTTTGTTTTATAACATAATAATATACAACATCACGTTTATTGCCTTCAAATAATTAGAGCTTTGTATCTTACCTATTAGAATTTACTAGGTATTACAGCCCTATATTAGGATTTCATGTTATAATTTACTAGAAATTCGGAACCCGAAACCCCCAGTAACAACAGAGATGGTCTGTTACTTAATAAATATAATTCGTTTAAACATACTTAGTTTTAAAAATAATTAAAAATATACTATTACTTCTATTATCATTGTATGTCTTTACCATTCACGGGACCACAGGGTCCCGGTCATTTGGGAGGCGTACGAGGGGCCGAAGCCAACTGCGCAGAGGCCCTTTAGACAACTTTAATCTAAATGTAATGGACACACAAACGAGCGACTATTCCTGTATGCACTATGGAAATGCACCCAAGGATAGACCCCGGTTAGTGTAGAACTATTGTGGATAATGGAAGAAAAAAGGTAGGGCTATGGATGGGTTGCTATGGACCGATAAATTGGAAACTATGGATGACTATGGCACCTGCCGAAACAATGTAATTATTTCACGTAAAAATGGCAGGCGGAAACTCGCCAACTCACCGACCGGGCCCCGGGAGTGGTTGCTAGATATAGCAACAGTGGGGCAACGAGAATCTGAGTGGCTGAAGGATAAAGAACCGCCGCACCGCTTTCTACTCAGATCATCTGCTCCAGCCGAAGCTTCCTGCATCCCTGGCCCACTCGCGACTTACGAATAGTTTCTTACCCTCCGAGCAGGATCACTGCTCTCGCGACTCCACTCTGGACGGCCAATGAAGGCAAGCCAGAGGTGGCAGACCTATTCCTTGTCATTGTTCACTCCAGCCAGCCAATTAAGGCAAGCCGGAGAATAAGGAACAGTGCCTTCTCCCTGGAGCACTCGGGATGATGATAGCCCGCGGGGTCGCTAATGCCCGTCACCTCGCCTCAAGGTGCCCTGTGCCCGCAGGGCACCTTTTATTATTATTACTTTAACCCCTTCTTTTTATATTATATTTTTATTTATACTAAAACCTTCCCCTAAGTGTAACAGTTTTCTGAAAACCTTATTAAAATCGGTTCAACCAATCGCGAGATAACCGCGAACATACATACATACATACAATGTACAAACTCAAACTGCGTAGATACCTGCTTTTTTCAGTTTAAAGTCGGTTAAAAACAACAGCAATTCGAGGTACCTATCTAATAACAATATGTATACCTAATCTAATTAAGTTATTGTTGTCAATTCATTTTATTTATTAAATTCAATAATGTTTGTATTAGACTTGTTATATCTAATACGAATTCAGGACTTCGCGACAGAATCGATTAACAGAGCAGTACACACATTGTTTAATTCGACATTTACAGAAGGTACATTATTATTTAGTTAGACACTTAGATAAATAGTTCCTAATAGGTCAACAAGTCACTTTGTAAATAACAGAAAAACATCAAGAGTTGATGTACTTAGACAGTAAACTGAGGTGAGACTTGAGACAATAAATTACAATGTATTCCACTTCCAGGTATTCTTCCCGGACGTGGAGCGCGCCGAGTGGCTGAACAGGGTATGTAATGTATTGCAATTTAACAAATTACTTAGCTAACTCCTACACTGCCCGCTCACGTATCTAGTTCCCGCCCACGTCATTTAAACTGTTCGCAACGCGCTTATTGATTTTACTGCGAATACAGTCATTACGTGGCTCCCACTTACTATTCTACATAGACTGTAGTGTTATGTCTACAATAAAACTTATTTCATTACGTCATATTCTATATTTGATAGCCGTCATAATAATTATAATATGTATCATGTCTGATTGATTTATAATAATTTTACTACCGAACATGGTTTTCTTAAGATATTGACTGCCATGCCTACTCTGGGTATTCTATTCATCCAAAATAAATGACATTATAATTACTAGACCTGTGGAAAATCTGACAAATAATATTTTATAGGGAATTTTTTTCTCTCACTGCCTTTCTGACTAGGTTCATACATTTGCTTGCAGATTCTGCTCCAAGTTTGGCCCAATGTAAACTCGTACGCTCGCAATCTACTGAAAGAGTCCATTGAGCCAGCGGTGGCCGAGAGTTTGGCTAACTACAAACTCACCGGCTTCAAGTTCGAGAGAATGATTCTTGGCACCATTGTAAGTACTTTAGTCAATCAAGAAAGTATTTGTTCGGTCGTGTATCTTAATATCGTACGTTATCAGCACAACAGTCAATTCCTAGTAAGCAATAAATCTGACGTATCAATCTAACAGGAAATTAAATTCCTAGATTTTTTTCTGCTTAAGTAGGGCTGTACCTACTTCACTATTACATATAGGTACTGAACTTACATAAACTACAAACAAGATATCAAAATTAATATTCTATATAGGACTTATCTCGTTGGAAGAGATGGAAATTTCAACCCACGCTAGGTTGAAATTTACCAACAAACTAAATTAAACTACTTATCATACACTTCACTCTTTAGTTAACTATGACTTCATGCATACAAAAGTGCAAATAAGAATTGTTATCTATTTACTAACATTCCACAAAACCACACGTCAAAGCTATAAAAGTTTTATAGCTGCGAGTGACTGTAACTCGTCTTAATCCTTGCAGGCGCCGCGAGTCGGCGGCGTGAAGGTTTACGACAAGAACCTATCCAGGGATGAAATTATAATGGACGTCGACTTATTGTAAGTTATTTTATGAGCCACAATATTGCAATATTATTACAGTTGTAAAAGTTACAATGCCTTCGCAATGCGAGTCAAACCAATTCAAATGTTACGCTTGAACTCAAAACTCACCGACAAAGGCGCTAGTGGGGATTAGGTCTTCGCGATCCTTGATAAATAAATATTTTCCAGCATCTTTGTTTAACATTATTACTTATTGGTGTACAGAAATACGTCCTACGCTGATCTTATAGAACTAGGACTTATCTATTTTGTTTAATAATAATTAAAGCTATAGATATTTATTTCAACGTATTGAGAACCCTTGATAGAATACATAACAATAATGTAAACTAATCATTACGTGTTATACATATTTATTTCAGTTACGCTGGCGACTGTGATATCTCCTTCGTCCTGCAACGCATCCGCGGCGGTATCAAAGACCTTCAGGTTATGATAAACACTAGTTATTCAATAAAAACCTATCCCACACATGCGCACCGATGACTACATCCTATCATCTGATGTGCAGTAATCTTATCTGTATCACTTCATCATGTTTCGTCTATTTAAAATGCACTTCACTGTATAAAAGGTGTAAACGATGTATGTTAACACGTTTTTAGCTGAGACTCTGACCTTTTGACCTTCATTCATCTGTTGCCATTCATTTTGTATCAATAAAGACTTCATTGAATTTGTATTTATGTACATTACGATTTACTTCATTAAAACAGTTTTTATTTTAATCATAATAAGAATGGCAGTGGCTGGTCATAAAATGGAAACGTGCTATTAATACTTATTATCGCCTTATAACAATAGCCGTACCTTTCAGCCGCCGCCTTTCAGAAAAAAGAAGTGCAAGTTCCTATGTGTAATAATATTTTTGTAAAACATTTCAGATTCACGGTATGGTGCGTATAGTTATGAAGCCACTTATCACTAAGATACCTCTAGTGGGAGGACTCCAAATTTTCTTCCTAAACAACCCGTCCATTGACTTCAACTTAGTGGGAGCCGCTGATATTCTTGACATGCCAGGCTTCAGGTACCTACAAATTTTGTTAACAATTACGTCATGCAATTATAACTTCTATTATGTTCAACGTTCAACATAAAGTGATAGGATTGTCCAGGTAATAATTGGTGTTAGCAAATACCTACATACACATTTTCATTGAGTCTAAATGGGGTAGACGACTAATTTTTATTTTAATGTCCGTCTGGTAGATTATTTAAAAACATTAGACACGTATTTTTTATTTTCTTACGGAAACGAATAGTTTCGAAGATATATTGATTTGAAATGTCGCGTGACGTCACTTCTCAGTACATTTTATACTAAGAAATGACGTTTTAGCCCCCACTCCTAAACTTTGATTCGTTTTATCTAAGTATTGTTTTATTATACAACAAAATAAAAAAATACGTGTCTAATATTTTTTTATTACCTAAGTTACGGACTAATTATATTTTTAATTTTCATACCCTGTCATCATCCCCATTATGTCTATGAATTAGAAGTCATTTTTTATATATAACTCATTGTACTGCACGGTTGGTTGGTGCGGTGGCTGGGTAACCGGCTGCCTTGCAACGTGTCGCGGGTTCGATTCCCGCATGGAACAACACTTTATGTGATCCACAAATAATGTGGGGCAACGTTTTTTTTTAAATATATATATTTATTTTATTTGAAGAGACGTGTTAACAAATAATGTTATATCCCAGTGATATTCTACGGCGCTGTATCGTGGAGCAAGTGGCTAAGATGATGGTGTTACCAAACAAGTTACCAATTAAACTAAGTGATGAAATACCTACTGTCGATCTGAGAATGCCTGAACCTGAGGTAAATCATGTTACATACATATCTACACACATAATGATATATTGCAAATAATTTACTAATCTATATTATAATTGTTACGTCCAGGGTGTACTTCGTATTCATCTCGTTCAAGCTCAGAATCTTATGAAGAAAGATGTCTCAATGATTGGTAAGTTTCTTAATCCTCTTTCTGTAGTATGGTCATTGTCACTTAGTACTTTGTGGCCTTAATACAGATTGCATACTTACAAATTCAATAACTTTTGCCACTAATTCAGTTCATAAATGTAACATCTTTAAATGCGATGTCCAGGTAAGGGTAAGTCAGATCCGTACGCGATCATTACGGTGGGCGCGCAGCAATGGAAGACGAAACACATCGACAATAACGTCAACCCTCGCTGGGACTTCTGGTGCGAGGTAAGCAGACATCTACATACACACACACACACACCTTTACACTTTATATAGTACATATCTATTAGTACTACTTTTATGCACACGGGTATATATTTTAATACTTACTTATATACAGTATATAGTGTTTCTATTTAGATTTTTAACAGATTAGTACAGTTTGCTTAGCAAGTATCTATACAAATATCTCTTAATGTTCGTATATAACATTTAAGATGTGCTTGCTTATTTTAATTAATCAGGCTTTGGATATATTTGGTAAGTAGGGTATAACACAATCTAATACTTGTATTTAAAATTGTCTTGGCTCATTTCTGAAGTACAAAAATTATGTGTTGTAAATCACATGCATTTATATTGTATATTACTTTGAATTTCTCTTTGTGACGAGAATTGCAAGGCTTCTCGCTGTCTGCCATAATGAAGTAGCAACATAAAAGTATACAATAGTCATAGTGTCTAATGGAAAATATTAAAAAAAAATATTTATTTAAATTGGAGTATTGTTGAATGTAATATTTTGCTATTTCAATATAATTTGAAGCAGTGTCAGGAATGAGCATGACCTATTATTTTATTTTGATTGGATTAAAGATTGTTTACTGGCAAGAAACAGTGGCGTTCTTTGGAGAGTAAACCTTCTTCTAATTGTATAATTTTTTCATAACATTTGCAGTAGTTTATCTTAATTGCAATATACTTATTATCTTATAATGTTAGGTGTATTAAATCTATTTTATTGATATAATATATTTGCATGTACGATAACATTCAAAATATGGGGTTATTTAAAAAAGTTAAAAGTCCGGTGACAATTTTCTGTCACTATTAAACTTAATAATATATTTAATGAGTTGGGGCTGTGTAACATTGAAGTAGCCACAGTGTTCCATTATAACACCACAAGTGCAACTGGGGGTGTGTTAACAGTTTGGAGCTGTGCTATATTATAACAAGGGTGTCACACGATGTTAGCTAATCATATTGTAAAATACGCTGATAAAGAAATACGATGCGGGCATGTTCTACTTCCAAAGTATTGTCGTGAAATGTTTACAAGTAAGTTATGAACAAGATTTTGTTTTCCTCACTTATGTTTGCGTCGGACTATGCGCGTGTGGCATACAGGCGCGTATAATGCAATCTCTGGGCCAAGCGTTGGAAATAGAAGTGTTCGACAAGGACGAAGGCAACAATGATGACAAGCTGGGCAAGTAAGTACGAGCACGCGGTGACGGGCTGCAACAGGGCCGGCGGGGGCGGGCGCGGGCGCGGGACCTGCGACACGTTATACGCTACGCTGATGGTTGCACCTGCTTCACGCATTGTAACTGTCCCGATAAGCTTCTAAACTATGGCCAACGCGACGCTTGTCCGACAGTTACACTGGCGTGACAACTACTGTCGACGCTGTCCACTGTAAACTGGAGGACTTCTGCATAGACATTAACAAGTAGGTTTCGGGTGGTGTCGTTTCAAAGCAGCGAAGGTTCCAACTCTTTGACGTGACACCCTCGATACAATGTAATGAGAGATCTAGATGAATGTGATGTGTCGGATTTTTCTGTAAATAATATCTGTTTATAGTCCTTGCGAGTCACACTATTCCAGAGTCTCCCATTACAATATAATTCGCTGCATGTGTAGTCTGTAGTGCGCATACTTAGTTGTAGTTACATATGGTGAAGGTGAGTTTCCTAGATGATGATGTATTAATGATACTGAACTTTTCTGTTTTCTTCCAAAGTTTCTAATATGCAGGCATGCCGAAACAACATTACAGAGGTCAGTATACGGGCACCGTTGCGACCTCTTTAATGTTGTAGTTTTAAATTGATAAACTTGCCAGATGGTCAGGGGATAGATATGGAATCAAAATGTTTTCAAAATTGATTGGCTAAATTGAAGATTGTGTGTTTAGGCGTGTTTGGCATATAACTCATTTGTAGATATATTGTGATTTTGTCCTTTAATAGGCGTTAATAAGCTCAAGGAAGAGTCAAGTGCTGCAGTGCGAGCTCTGGGACTGGGACCCTGGCATGGGCATTCAGAACGATGATTATCTTGGCAGGTCCGTCTCCGCCGCTAGTAGTGCATTGACACGTTAGCGACATTAATTTCATTGCCGTGGTTTTATTACTTTTTGTTATTTAACTTGACTCTTATTATCACCGATGCGTACATCAGTCCTCATTTTATACTTTCATGTAGATAGATATAGTCATGCCGGTGATTTTAAGAATCATTTTGGGTTTTTTTAACCATTTTGACTACTTGGTGTTCTATTTTTATACCTACAGCTATTGTGTGTGATTGATTTTTGCATTATGCAGGAATACCGATTCGTATATGGGGACGTACGATACCTTAATATCTAATCAAGTGGCAAGTTGAAAAGTTTCAACCGTATAATTTTATTAATTACCTGTTTCGATAATTCACGTTTGTTTAATTTACAAAATACTGACACCGGCTATAATTTGACATTTTAACATGTACCTATACACCCTGGACCCTATTAAATCACGCAGCAAAAATGTACAAAAACATGAAACTAATTCCTGATCTCCTGCAAATTAATGATAGCTTAATTGTATGTATTTGTATATAACATGGTGGGTTGTAACAGTCAGTACTCCGCACCAGCGCGACGATATTGGTCATCAGGCTTTTCGACTGGGACCGCACAGGACGAGATGAGAAACTGGGCAGGTCGGTCGCTGCCGCCACACACTACAAGTGTATCTGACAATGTACATACATTCTCACAGTGAACTAACATACTTGCCACTGACGCGACCACGGACCATACTTGTACGCACACGAACTGAGCGAACACTACTGTCGGTACATTCAGATGTAATCACGCACTCATTCTGAACTTGGATTACACCTACACGCACCGCACTGGGTCATAGAGACGGGTCATACTAACATAACTTGAGCTTTTAACGATCACTAGGCAATAGATACCTACTTGGCGGACTCAGAGGGGAATATCACTCATTGCTACAAAACGTTTTAAGTGGCCGTTTAATTTAACGCTAATAATCATACACTAACTTTGAAATTAATTTATTTCGTAGTAATACGTAGATAAGGACTTACGTTACGAAACGTACGTCCATCCATTCCTTTCCGTATTCCAATAACTAATTGCTTGTGATCACTAAATGTTTTGTGCACTTTGTTTTAATCTTTGTCCAAAATAAAATCTTTAATTCTATTTTATTTGATTGACATTCTTAACGTTTAAACTTCTTCTTTAGCCTCACTGAAGGCATGCACCTCTATTCAGATGGAAATAAATGTTACCTACATATTATGTTTTCTAAATTTCAGAATATTCTTTGACGTGTGCTAACAATGGTGATGCCTATGAAGTATTTTAGTAGACAGACGTCATTACATTATGTTATGATTTCAGGTGTTCGCTGGATATCTCACAAGTTGTACGCTTTGGCCGTTTGGATACGGTAAGAAATTCTTTAGAGCATGTTATATAAAAATATACGTCCTTATTTAATTTTGTATAAATATCTATTATACTAATGTTGGCAAATTGTTTCAGTGGCAAACTCTTCAGCAAGCTAAGCATGGTAAAGTTGAACTGCGTCTTTCTTGGCATCGTTTGACTTCCGATGTGTCGGAACTTAGCCGCGTGAGTACCTAAACATCTTACCTACAAGACCTGCATACATAAGGACAAAGTCAGACATTTTACTAATGTTATAATTATGTATTTGTATTACAGGCACTAACAGAGACCCTGCTCATCAAGACTGGAGAATTGAGCTCCGCTGTCTTATCTGTGTACATCGACTCATGCAAGAAGTTACCTGTAAGCGTCTTATTTTCATGTATATGTATACCTATCGCATATTGTTTTTTTTTTTTCATATATGTATATATTTGATGGGCCGTCATTTGACTACTATTTCACCTAGTGGTAAGCAATGATGCGATTAAAAAAAGCTGAACAACTACAATGATATACTTTTCCCAACAGAACGCTCGCACGCAATCTCGGCCCGACCCCTACCTCACGTTGACTGTGGGTAAAAAGACTGAGACTAGCGCCGTCCAGATGAGGACTGATGATCCAGTCTACGAAATCGGATATTCGTTCCTTGTCCAGAACCCTGAGTGCGACAACTTGGAGATTAAGGTAGGAAGAAATGATTAAAAAACTAATTTTGTCACAATAAATCGAACCAACGATTTCGTTACAATTTTCAAGATATGTACTTTAGTGTATCACTTTTGTTGTAGGTTTTGGACTCTAAAACGGGAGGTCAGCTTGGCCAGCTGACATATTCAATCTCGACTCTGCTTAAAGAAAAAGACTTGAGCATGATTACCCAACCGCTGATGCTGCAGCGATCCGGACCGGAGTCCAAAATCATAATGTCTTTGCAATTAAAGGTAAATAGGTACTTCACTACTTTCACATATTGAAAATGTGTGATGACGTTTATAGTGTTTGGATGAATTTATTGTAACCAACAATACATTTGTTAACGTAAAAATCTCGTTTCCAAAGATTTTGAAAGAGGCTATCAAGGAAGAGGACTACGAAGAAGAGCCTCCTGCGCCGGCGGTGGTAGAGACTCCAAAAGAACCATCGCCCCCCGCCCCCGCGGCTCCACCTTCACCTCCATCTCCAGCTGTCTCTGATGAGCCTGGACCCCTTACTGACCCTGGTAATATATTGATTGTAAACTTAATATTAGTCATATTTTTAACAACTAATTTTGCCGGCTCGACTGGACTCACGGCCGAGCAGAAGACCGACGTGAAACAACGTTGTTGTTGTGTTTTGTTTCGTCGTGTGAGTGAGGTTACCGGAGGACCAATTACTTAAGGAGGGACACTAAATATAGTTTTTACAAAAGTTAGCAGTGGGATTACTTATTTCAAAAATATTTTCCTACATGTAACTATCGTATGAGAAGTAAGTTTTATAAAAACATTCCTTGCAGTGACTGTACTACCTGAGCCGTTAGTGAGGAACGTTGAGGACGCTCTTCTAGACAGTAGCTCACAGAAATCCGTGCCTTTAGAGCACATTGAAAAGGAAGTTGGTGAGTCCAATTTGATATAATCCAATTTTCTCCATACATCGAATTTTTAGTTTCATTAATCCTCGTACACTCGAAAGCCAACTTTACATTTAGGAAAGGTTCGTCTGTGAAACCTCTCTAACAACGGCGTCTCTCAAAATTAAAACGTATTCTGCTTTTTTTTTTTTTATTCCGATTCCTAGTCCCATCTGAAAGTCATGGCCACATGAATGTCATTTAGTAATACATTGTTGTATTACAGACACACCTCAGGAATATCAACCCCCAAAATCACCTGAGCGCGAGCCGCCGTCGAAACTTGTGCATAGAATCTCTTCATTGACTACGTAAGTTGTACTATATAAATATTAATACATTTTTGGTATAGTGGAAAAAATAAGTAAACAAATATTACCTAAATTTGTGTTTGGTACAGGTCAGCAGGAGAAGCCGGCCTCGGCCGTATTCTGCTCTCACTTCGCTACAGCATGCAAAACCAAACTCTCTTCGTGGTTGTGCACAAAATTATGTAAGTTAACCTCATGACGTGCATAAGCACGTAATGCTAATAATAGCAGCGGTACAAAACCGCTCTTATTGCTTACAAAATAAAATCAGTTTCAAAGTACCTACTACTCCATGTGTGCAATTTTATTGGTGTTTATGTATTCTATTGTTTTTTTATAGGCACATACCATTAAAGGACCCGACCAATGTGCCTGACCCTTACGTCAAGTTGTACTTGCTGCCTGGCCGCTCCAAAGACTCCAAACGTAAAACTGTGGTAAGTGATAACCAGAAATAATATAAATAGTTAATTCAGAAATAACGTTATAAGAGTAATCTTTCATTTTTTCGTTCGGTAAGAGGTCACTGGACCGTAAAGCTCTGATTGATTGTGCAAAAGGTGTCGACTTGTCGAGTATTAAATACTTACCTATATTATGACTATGCCTTTTATTTAACCGAGGGCTGGGCTCGCTGCCATCGCAGCGGTAAGTCCCCTCTTTGAGGAGTGGCTTGAGAGACGCTACGGCGTCCTCACCTACCGCCTGACGCAGGTCCTCACCGGACATGGGAGTTTCGGGAGGTACCTGTGTCTGATGGGGCGGGAGGAAACGTCTGGGTGTCATCACTGCCAGGACCGCCCTGAGGACATGGTGGAACACACTGTAGCGGAATGCCCTGCGTGGGCTGAGCACCGCCGTGTCTTCAGGGAAGTGATCGGCGATGGCGACCTCTCGCGTCCGGGCCTAGTGCAGGCCATGATGCGGAGCGAGGGGGATTGGGATGCCGTCTCCTCCTTTTGCGAAGCAGTCATGCTAGCTAAGGAGGAGG